ACCAGGGACTGAGCCTGCAAGCTGGGCATGTGCCCTGATGGGGAATCAAACCGCAACCTTTAGATGTATGGGACGATGCCTAACCAACTGAGCCACACTGGCCAGGGTGAGAGCGAGCTCCTTTAAAAGTAGCTTAACCATGTTCAAAGTTGTCAAAGGTAGCAAATGACCTTTTCATCCAAATTTGCTCAGAACTGGGAATACACTAGCCATATTTTGTTTTTAATATGAATTAATAGCCCTGGCCGGTTTAGCTCAGCGGTTAGAGCATCGGCCTGTGGTCCGGAGAGACCAGGGTTCAGTTCCCGCTAAGGGCACGTACCTCGGTTGCAGTTTGTCCCCGGCCCTGGTTGGTTGTGCAGGTGGCGACCACTCGATGTGTCCCTTTCACATCGATGTTTCTCTCTCTCTCTTCCTCTCTCTCCCTCCCACTCTACCTAAACAAAAAATGGAAAAATGTCCTCAGGTAAGGATGATTAAAAAAAAAAAATGAATTAATAATCAAAGCAAATTATAACTATGCTTTTAACATAGTCAAGCTGCTCTTACTATTAAATGGATCATTGGAATTTTCACTTTGTAACATTATCTGAAGGCCTTTGTGATTAACCAGTTTTGAGAAACCAGCTGATTAGACCCATTTTTCATTTCAGCCGCACCATTTCTCCTGTGCTCTCTATGTAGCAAGGGGGACGGATGCCAAGTTCAGGGAGCCATAGTGAACTCTTTCAACTTATTTTACTTGTCAGACACCACTTTTCTCCTGTGTATCCACGGCTCTGTGATTAGCAGGACTGGCAGTCCACTGACCATAAAAGCAAGGGATTCAGCCCAGCCCAAAATGTCCCTGCACGATTTTTAGAGACAGAGATGTGAAGTCGCCATCCCACAGGGAAAGGTATCCACAGGGTTCTGTGTAGGCTCCAGTAGCAAGCTCTGATGTCAAAGTCACTGATCCTCTTCAAAGGTTTCTTAGGGGAAGGAAATAGCAATAAGCAGGTCTGGGGACGAAATAAGACACTGGGTTTGTGTTTGACTCTCAGAGTGAGCTCTGGTCACGAGGTGTTTTTCTTCATGTTGCTTTTGTTCTCAGAAATGAAAGTAAACGCAGAGCACAAATCCTTGGGTATAAGACCCACCTCCACTACCGCTCTTCTGTGGATAAAATGAGCAATAGAATAAGGATATCAGGAGAGAAAAGGGGATTCGGTGGAAATGAGAGCAGAGGCTCCTTTGCATACCAGAATATTTCTGAATCAGACTCTTGCACATAAAGTGCATGCAGTGTATATGTGCATGCTCTGCGGATTAATTTCAGTCAAGATATGATATATTTTAGTAACTTTTTCTAGAAGTTAGGACATTTAAGATTTCACAAACCCCAGAATATTACAACATATTTTGATTCTTTTAACTTAGTCCAGACACAAGAAGACAGACTATATTTCAGGTATGAACAGAACTATTTTTTTCTTTCTAATAATATTTTTTATTTTTCAATTATAGTTGACATACAATATCATATTAGTTTCAGGTGTGCAGCCTAGTGATTAGACATTTATAAACTTAGGAAGTGATCTCCCTGATAAATCTAGTACCCACCTGGCACTGTACATACTTATTACAATATTATTGACTATACCCCCTATGCTGTTCTTTATATCCCATGACGATTTTGTAACCACCAATAAGTACTTTTTTTTCTTTATTGATTTCTAGAGAAAGAGGAAGTGAAGAGGGAGAGAGAGATAGAAACATTGATGAGAGAGAACATCAATTGCCTCCCTCCTGCATGCCCTTCACTGGGGATCAGGCCCACAACCTGGGCATGTGCCCTAACCAGGAATCAAACCAGTGACCTCTTGGTGCATGGGTTGATGCTCAACCACTGAGCCACACTGGCTAGGCCAATAAATCTTTCTTAATCCCTTTCCCTTTCATCCATCCTTCCTGCCCCCTCGCAACTGACATCCATTAAAATGTTCTCTATTATCTTGACTTTGTTTCTGTTTGGTTTATTTTGTTGTTTAGAGTCCACATATAACTGAAATCATATGGCATTTGTCTTTCTCTGTTTGATTTATTTCACTTAGTGTAATACACACTAGGTCCATCCATGTTGTTTCAGATGGTCAGATTTCATTCCTTTTAAGGCTGAGTCATATTCCATTGTATAAATGCACTTCTTTATCCAGTCATCTATTGACAGGCACTTAGGTTGCTTCCACACCTTGGCTATTGTAAATAATGTTGCAATGAACATATGGATATATGTCTTTTCAAATTAGTGTTTTGGGTTTCTTTGGATAGATACCTAGAAGTGGAATTGCTGGATTCTTTGTCTCTTGTTATACATAGCATTTGTTTTAAAGTCTATTTTGTGTGGTATGCCCAAGTTTTATTTTTTATTTTTTTTGTTTCCATTTCCATGAAATGTCTTTTTCCATCCCTTTACTTTCAGCCTGTGTATGTCTTTTAATCTGAAGAGTCTCTTGTAGACAGCATATGTAAGGGTCCTGTTTCCTTATTCATTCTGTCACCCTATGTCTTTGGATTGGAATATTTAATACATTTACATTTAAAATAATTGTTGATAGATAAATAGTTATTGCCATTTTATTCACATTTTTTATCTTTTTCTTCTTAAATAAATCCCTCTAACAGTTCTTATAACACTGATTAACTTTTTCTTGTCTGGAAAGTTCTTTATATGTCCTTCAATTCTAAATAATAGCTTTGCTGGATAATCCTGATTGTAGGTCCTTGTTTTTCATCACTTGGAGTATTTCATGCCAATCCCTTCTGGCCTTCAAAGTTTCTATTGACAAATCAGCTGACAGTCTTAATGGAAGCTCCCTTGTAGGCAACTAACTACTTTTCTCTTGCTGCTTTTAAGATTCTCTCTTTGCCTTTAACTTTTACCTTTTTAATTATCACGTGTCTTGGTGTGGGCCTCTTTGGGTACATCTTGTTTGGGACTCTGTGCTTCCTGAGGTTGTATGTTTATTTCTTTCACCAGCTTAGATAAGTTTTCTTTCATTATTTCATCAAATAGGTTTTCAATTCCTTGCTCTCTCTTCTCCTTCTGGTACCCATAGAATGTGAATGTTGGTATGCTTCATGTTGTTCCAGAAGCCCTTAAACAATCCTCATTTTTTTTGTATTTTTTTTTTCTTTTTGGTGTTCTGATTGGGCATTTTCACTACCTTATCTTTCAAATCACTGAGTCAATCCTCTGCTTCATCTAACTTATTGTTGATTCCCTCTAATGTAGTCATTTTGGTTATTGTATTCTTCATTTCTGACTGGTTCTTTATGTTTTCTATCTCCATTTGTATGTTTCCTATCTCTTTGTTGAAGTTCTCACTGAGATCATTGAGCATCCTTAGAACCAGTATTTTGAACTCGTCATGTGGTAGATTGCTTGTCTCCATTTTGTTTAGTTCTTTTTCTGGAGTTTTGTTCTCTCCTTTCATCTGGGACATGATTCTTTGTCTATTTGGGCTGCCTCACTGGGCTTGTTTCTGTTTTTTAGGTAGAGCTGCTACATCTCCCAGTCTTGCTAGAGTGGCCTTATATAGGTTTCGTATGGGGCCCAGTGACACAGTCTTCCTAGTCACATGCCAGGGCCTCTAGGTGTATCCCTTGTGTGGAATGTATGTGCCCTCCTATTGTATTTGAGGGATTGCTGAAGGCATGTCAATGGGAGGGATTGACCCTCAGGCTGATTGGTTGTGAGAACTGGCTGTGACTACCGTGGAGGGAGGAACTGTTGTGCAGGGTCTCTCCCTATGGAACAGGATTTGCTTTAGTGGGGCTCTGATGCCTACCAAGTCTTCCCTTTGAGTGTATCATTTGTGGAGGTGGTTCGGTGATACTCTGATGTGGTCCGAAGCTGGCTACCAGGTGTGTTGGTTCTGGGGTCTCTTGAGAAGTGCAGGCCAAGGTCAACATCTGCCTGTGCCATGCCCAGGGCCACTTGGTGGGAGCTACAAAGTGATCTGTAGAGGATTTCCACTTGTGCTGGGTTTGGAGATACCTGGGAGAGGCTAAGCTGAGAACTAATGCTGGCTGCTGCTAGGCTTGGGGCTGCTTAGCAAGAGGTATAGGGCACACCAAGGCCAGATGATACTTGTTTGGGGTTTGTAAACCTATGAGTGATTTTAGGAAAGTTTGCAGCATGAACCAAGACAAGCTGTTTGTAGAGAAAAGTCCCTGGAATTGGCTTGGGTTGGCCCAGAGGTTGGGTGGAAAGGGTGAACAGTGTGAGCCAGATGATGGAGACTCAGATATGGCACCCGCCTGCTGGCTCTGTGGTGGGGAGGGCTATGCAAAGGAACACCAGCCTCTGCCAGCACTTCTCTGGGAGAAAGCTGCCCCTCTCGCTCTTTCCCTAGTGCCAGATAATTCAGTTCTTTCTTGCTGCTGTCCCAGCACTGGACTCAGAGTGACTGAGTCCCAGTAAGTCCATGCATGGGTTTTTAAGAAGAATGCCTGGGACTTCAGCATCCCTCCGTCTCACTCAGCCACAATCCCCACTAGTTTTTACAGGCAGGAGTTATGGGGACTCTTGTCCCAGAGCTGGAACCCTCAGCTGGGGGGCCTCGTAGGGGGTTGGGACCCCTTGCTCCTCAGCAGGGACTTCCACAGCCGAGATATCCCTCCTGGTTTTTAATTGCCACATGTGGGTGTGCAACCAGCCAGTTCTGTGCCTCTACCCCTCCTACCAGCCTGGAAGTGGCTTCTGTATGTCCTTGGTTATAGGACTTCTGTTCAGCTAGACTTCAGGTGATTCTCAATGTTGGCTGTTCTGTAGTTCAGCTGTAATTTTGATGTGGTCATGGGAGGAGGTGAGAATAGCGTCGATCTACTCTGCCATCTTGACGGAAAGCCCAGAACTATTTGTTTAAAATAACAATTTCAAGTGATTTGGTGTTCATAAAAATTTTAATGAAATACAATTTCATCTCCTTTTGTACCTCTTTGCAAATGGAGTACAAGGCAGAGTTTTATAATCTTTTAATAACTTGTGTAATATCTGTGGTATTGGTGTATCTCAAAGGTGGAATTCTTTTAAATTATAAAGGATTTTGAGTGCTTGAAATCCTATGAAAAGAAAGAAAAACCAAGTTTAAATATACAGTATTAGTTCATATTTAAAGAAATATATAAATCTTATGAGTATAAAGCTACATCCTCTATAAGAGGATCCTCTATAAGAATCTTACAGGTACAAACCAGCATATGTAGAATTAAGTCTATTTTATGGGAAATTAAATAATTAAATCCTAGGACACCTGGTCCTTGCACCTGTGCCTAGAGAGTAAAGAAAGAGGAGTGGGAATCAGAGCAGGAGAAATCTTGTTTGCTAGGGGTATGCTACGGCACCTAGTGGGTAAAGGGCGAGGTGCTGCTAAGCATTCTCCAATGCCCAGGACAGCCCCCCACAAAACACAGAATTATGCAAAATTATAAGAATTCACTATATAAGAATTATAAGGAAACAGCAATAGTGCTAAGGTTGAGAAACCCTGTTCTAGGGCAAAACTAGAATTGGAGACTAGATCTCAGCTGATAAGAGCAATTGCGAGGAAGACGAAGAAAAAGTAAAAGGCCACTGCTCTTCCAACCCAGCCACAGAGCGTCGTTCACTGTTTGGTGGGGTGAGATCATATTATCCCACAATCAAAGAATATTTTCCACAAATGACAGGAACAAATACGGAGTGCTACCTATTGCTTGTCTGCTAATCAAAGTACAGTATGCGTTCCATATAGTAAACCACAAAATAAAAGGACTTCGGTAATCAACAAATTCTGGCGTAGGCCATCTACAACACTTTTGATAGAAAAAGCTCTATAGAGCAGTTCACGGGTGCTCAACATCAGTGTCCATCAGAATCAGTTACGTGTTTAAAGTACTGCTGCCCATGTCCCACCCAAAGCGCTAGTGAAGGGACATCTAAGAGCCTCCTTGCCACAGAGCACTCAGGGGTTCAGAGCCAGTGTTCCCTTTCTTGAGAAAGGGCTTAGGCTTCGAAAAACAATGGAAACCCCCCTCCCCACCATATTCCTGAAAAATAATCCTGAAAGTTGAACATCCGTCCAAAGAGCTATAAAATCTAAGCAATGTATTTATTGCCTCACTGTAGCATTTACAAATGCAGATGTACACCAGGGTCCAAATGTCTAAATTACGTTCTCTTAGCCATCTCTGTTAGATAATAATTGCATCTTTTCAAGAGTGTCTGAGATGCTCCTTTCAGCAATAGCAGAGGAGATTCTACATCCTTAAAATTTCTTAGGGCTTTGAATAACCAAAGGAGTGTCCGGGGACCACCGATCTGTGGAAGCGAGCTGCTCCTCCCAAGGAGCCTGGTTCCCAGCTCTGCCGCTGTAATCCTCTGAGAACTTGTGTCTTAGATTCCTCCCCTGTAAATAGAGCTGATAATACCAACTGTAATGATACTAAGAGGCTGGCTAATAATAGGAAACAGCACAAGAAAACATAACGGTGTGGTGAAGCCTCTTTGTTCTACAAAGGTGGGGCAATTTGATCATGCCACCGCAGACAGGGATGGAAGCTAACCTTTATTCAGCTCCTTCTAAAGACCCGTGGTAGACACTGGTGCACAATATATTAACAGTGAGAGTCCATTACTTCCACACAATTACTTCATTTCCTTGCCTTATTCCCTAAACACATCCGTTCTATAAATATGCTTTAAAAATACTCACATTTTCACTCATTGGAGTAGCTTTAGTCGCAGAACTACCCTTCCTGTGTGTGGAATATAAAGACAACATTTATTACATGATCACTTTCAACTCTGAAACCACAGCCTCTTTCAGTTAATGCTACCTCCATACATTTTCTCTTCGGGAAGATAAACATTTGTAGCCAGGTACAAAAAAAAAAAAAGGCTGAAAACCCCAACTGAAGTTCTTATTTTTATAGACAATAATCACAGAGAAAGCCATGCAACAAAATATCAGTGTGTGTGAAGCCTTGTATATCTGGTTGTAGCCTAGGGCTAGCATAATAACGATTTTTGTGGAATATGGGAAACAGAGATTTACTGACATTTAACATTTTGAAAGTTTGAGATTATAATCTCAAATTTCATTTTTTCCAGGGAAAGAAAGTTTTATGTGGTGACCGTGGTTATGGGCCGAATTGTGTCCCCTTCCCCTCCCCGTTTTGTTCACTGCTGTATCACCAGTCCTAGGACAGGGTTGAGTGCAGAATTGGTATTTAATTAAATGTAACAATGACTGTCGAGTAAAATTTTACTTGGAAAATTTTAATTTAGCAAATTACAGTAAATATATTTTTCTTTTTTTTTATATGATTTTTTTATTGATTTGTTAGAGAGAGAGGGAGGGAGAGAGAGAAATATCAATGTGAAAAACACCCATCAGCTGCCTCCTGCACGCCCCCTACTGGGGATCAAGCCCACAACCCGGGCATTGCCCTGACCAGGAATCAAACTGGGGCCTCTCAGTCCATGGGAAGGTGCTCAGTCCACTGAACCACACCAGCAAGATGCAAATAGATTTTTCAAAGTAGTACTATGGAAATGCCTACAAAGGATGTGTTTCTTCTCTAGGTAAATGAACATCATTGACAAGTAGGCATGAGGTGGGATGCATTTCTTTTTGTTGTTATTCCTCACCTGAGGATATTTTTCCATTGATTTTTAGATAGAGTGGAAGGGAGGGAGGGAGAGAGAGAGAAACATTGATGTGAGAGAGACACATCAATTGGTTGCCTCCCACATGACCCTGACAGGATGCAGGGAATCGAACCTGCAACCCAGGTACATGCCCGTGACTTGGAATTGAACCTGAAACCCTTGGGTTCCAGGGCCGACATTTTAACTGCCGAGCCAAACTGGCCAGGGCATAGGATGTATTTCTTGATGAACTTGAGTCACAGACACTTCCCATAGGATTAAAAACCTTCACAAGTCCGGCCAGTGTGGCTCAGTGGTTGAGCATTGACCCTTGCACCAGAAGGTCGCTGGTTCAATTCCCAGTCAGGACACATGCCCAGGTTGTGGGCCTGATCCCCAGTGAGGGGCATGCAGGAGCTGGCCAATCAATGGTCTCTCTCATCGATGTTTCTGTCTCTCCCTCTCCCTTCCTCTCTCTCTCAAATCAATAAAGAAAAAGAAAAGAGAAAAAAAACCTTCACAAATTAACTCAACTTCCCACTTTTGACTTTAAACAGATAATTAACAGAAAAGTAATTGATATGGGAGAAAGGCATGCGTTTCAAGAAAGTATACTTACTGGAAGGAGGTTTTTTCTACAAAAGAATAAGTATATATCATTAATACAAGCGTAATATGGCATGATACAGATTCATATAAAAATAAGTTTAAGCTTAATTTCTTTTTCTCAATCTTGACTCTCAGCTGTTGGCATCTGTACCTTCTAAATTGAGGGTTGGCAAACTTTTCCTGTAAAGAGCCACATGGCAAATATTTCAGGCTTTGTGGGAAAAGAGATGAAACTGAAGATATTACACAGGCAATTATATAACGAGAGAAACAAACTTCCAAAATATTTTATTCGCAAAATTTTAAATATAATAATAAAGTCGCGTGTCTACTAAACAGAAGAAAGCAATTCTTTTGGGAGGAAACCATTTCTCTTAGTTGGGGCTCAAAGTTAGTGTTCCCTATTATCAAACAGATTGTAAATGTTCATCTGTAAAAAACAGTTGTAGTTTATGAGCCATAAAAAAACAGGTGGCAGGCCTGATTTGTCCACAGGTTGTCGTTTGCTAACCCCTGTCTGAAATACAAGTTCAAGAAAATGGTTCTCTTAGATTCTCTGTCAGACAAAAATGAGAGTAACATTCTTAGCTAATGAACTACTAATATGCAAACAAATCTTTAATTCAGTATTTTAGAAAACATCCTTTACCAAATCTTCAAAAAATACTTATATATTCTTTGCAAATAGAGATATAGGTGACAAGAATTTTTACTGAGCAATCTTTTGTGTGTACTTTCACTGGTGACCAGCAGGGGGACTCAGCCAATTTCATTCATGAAGTTACAGGGACTAGAGGGTAGCATCATACAAAACAAATATTATTTATTCACAGACAATTCTTTATAAAGAGTATCTTTGAAACAGTGTTTGTGGACATATTTTATGACAATATCTACTTATAGGTATTATTAGAAACCCCATTTATTTATTTTTTTTCCTCACTCGAGAACATTTTGCCATTTTTTGTTCAGATAGAGTGGAAGGGAGGGAGAGAGAGAGAAACACCAATGTGAAAGGGACACACCGAGTGGTTGCCACCCGCACGACCCAACCAGGGCTGGGGACAAATTGCAACCAAGGTACATGCCCTTAATTGAGAACCGAACCCGCGTCTCTCTGGACCGCAGGCCGACGCCCTAACCGCTGAGCCAAACTGGCCAAGGGTAGAAACTCCTTTTAAATTTAAGTTTTATTCTGGTAAAACTTTATTTTTTTTTAACCTAAACTTTAAAATTAATGTTCACTGTGAAACGGATCTAAAACTAGTTTATACTGTAAATTTATGTATTAGTCCAATAAAAATTCTACTTTATACACCATTCCCAACGGATTTGATGGAATTCTACAGCTTCTGAGCTCTCAGAAAAATTTAAAGACTAAAGAGAAAGTAAATGCATTAAGAGAATAAAACATTATTTTTAAATCTCATACATTTACATCAAATCTATCACCAAAGGGGAGTTTAGGATTACAAGGGGTCTAAACGTGAAGAACTAAACACCTTGTTCAGAAGCAACCGTACCATAACAGGTTTCTAGTTTTCACTGAACAATTCTCTTCCAAATACAGTTGTGCTAGATTTGACATTCAACATCCACTGTTCTCCATTATAAACCAATTGACAAATTTCAATGAAATTTCTCATCCTAAAACTAGAAATCAATTTACCACTTGAGATATACAGTTCCTAACTTAAGAGGATCTTCAGTGCATGGAAAGGTAGCGTGAACATCCATCCACACCACGCTATCTTTTGGTACCGCGGCACTAGGCCACTCCAGGGAGAGCCTCCTCGTATTCCACGGTGTCTCCCGGAATGTGGGCTGCGGCCGCGCTGCCTTCCCCCCCTATGTTTGCCAAGAGGCTTCATGACTCACTTGCATGTCATCTTGGATATTTTCTACTACAGAAAAAGCAATGAGAAACATTCTGCAGAGTTTGTCAGAATTTCTTAAGAGAGGCAATGTCCCCTGAGAAAACTCTATAGCCACAGGAATCCGTCTAGCAAAGGGTTGAAATTCACTTACTTGAAAAGTAGCCTTTCCTCTGAGCATAGCACACACCCAGGCCACAAAGAGAAATCACTAAGGCCACAGCTACCACCGTCGCTATGATGCCACTTAGGTTGAGATCATCTGGAATGCAAGATGAACCACGCGTGAAATCATGGACAGACATAGTCACTAAACTGAAGAAGTTCAGAAAGGTTCTTGTTTGCAGCGATACCATAGACGTGGATAGTTTCACACTTTTGACGCCTCTTCAACTAACACTTCCAAAAGATAATCTGATTATCTATACTTTTCTGTGCTTCATAAAGAACTTCTTTAGAACAGTTAACAGATTCTGCTTTTGGTTACATGTTATTAATGATAATTCAAAAAGAAAACTGAACACAAGATTTCATAAATTCTTGTGTATTTCAAATTATATAAACTCCAAGCCAAGGACATGAAATACCTAGACACAATGGACGAGCATTAAACAAATTTTAACTTTTAAACTAACTTATATCAGAAAGAGTAGATATATGGAAATCATGTTTAAATTAAAGTGGTACTACAACCCGGCCAGTGTGGCTCAGTGGTTGAGCATCCAGCACCAGGAGGTTGCTGGTTCGATTCCCAGTCACGGCACATGCCCAGGTTGTGGGCCCAATCACCAGGGAGGGCCTGCAGGAGGTGGCTGAGTAATGTTCTCTCTCATCGATGTTTCTATCTCTCTCCCTCTCCCTTCCTCTTTCTAAAAAAATCAATAAAGAAAAAAAATTTTTTTAAGTGGCACTACTACAAAATACAAACTATTACATTATATTTGTTATGTATTTATTTATTGCATGCTAGTAAAATGTAACTAGGATGTCAAAACCAGAACATCACAGATATCACTTCTTAGGATGCTGCTTAATTAGGCATTAAAATTAAACACGACCATCTAAAGAAAAAATAAATAGTAATAACGTAGGTGGTACAAGGTTATAGTAAAAACCCTGAGGACAGTATGTGAATGAATAAAGTTAGGAAAACACTGGACTGTATTAATTTTTATTACAGATTCTGGTGAATTTTCCCAATAATTCCAAAGCAGCATTGAGAGAGGTCATTTCTAATAATTTAAGCAAATGCTTATGTTTGACTATCACTGTGAACACCTGAATGAATTTGGTGGATAACATGTATCCCTGAATTTAAAAAACACCAGAAACTCAAACTTACTTGTAGAAATTAGAATTCACTATTAAATATCTTATACTAGGATATCCTGAAGTCTAATAAGATTATATTTTCTTTAAATAATAATGTTGAATATAACTGCACACAGACAATACAAATTACTGCACACATATCTGCATACCCTTATGCACATTGAAAAAATGAATTTCTGACCCCAAAAAGCTGAGGACAAGCTCCTGAACCAAGGGAAATCCTCAGTCTTCTCCTTTGGGGTGCAGCCCTCCTGAGTGACCTTTAGCCCCTTGGGTACCATCTCAGCTCAACCCTCTCTTACACAACCATTTTCAAAACACACAGCTTTCACACAAGGAAGAATTAAACCAAATTATTTAAAAAAAAAAATGAAGCCCTGGCTGGTTTGGCTTAGCGGTTAGAGCGTCAGCCCATAAACCAGAGAGTCCCGGGTTCGGTCCCCGCTAAGGGCACGTACCTCGGTTGCAGTTTGTCCCCAGCCCTGGTTGGGGTCGTGTGGGTGGCAACCACTCGATGTGTTTCTCTCACACCGATGTTTCTCTCTCTCTCTCTCTCTCTCTCTCTCTCTCCCTCCCACTCTATCTGAAGATACATGCAAAAAATGTCCTCAGGTAAGGATAAAAAAAATAAAATAATAAAATAAAATAAATAAATAAAATAATAGGCCTGTTCTGAAACTGTTATAATCTGAAAAGATTCTTGAGCATGACTTTTATTGAAGAAGCTTATTTTGTGTAACATACTCTATGGCAGCTACCTTTTATGGCAACCTAGATCTATAATTAAAGTCAACATCTGTTTTGAGAGTCTACTTTGCAGTAAGTCTAAGCACATTATTTCAGAAGATTAACATAATTAACAACAACCTGATAACAAGTGAGACAGTCGACACTTATATAGTGCTCCCAATACGCCACAATAACCCTCTCAAATATTATTTTCATCTTCATAACAACCCTGTGAGGATGGTACATTACTACTTCCATTTTGGGGAGACTGAGGCACAGAGGTTAAATGATTTTCCTAAGCGTATGTTGCTAGTACATGGCAGAGTCGGAATTTGAACCCCCACACCGAGTCCTTGACCCCGAGCAATTTACAAGACTCTTAGCGTTTTTTTCTGAAAGAAGATTGCCCCCACGAGCATAGTGTCAAAATAATTATGTGAAAAATTCAAAACTTTGTAAGTATAATGCTAAATATTTTGGCTTGTTTGGGAGATGGATTGAAAACAACAGTTTTGCTCTTTGCAACATTATGTCAAGATAGTTGTAAACATTCCCTGGAGTTCCTCCTTCCAGTCACTCAGCACTTCCCCCTCCTTGCTCCTTCCACCCATCCACTGGCACCGTGGAACTGCACCCCTCTGTCCCTCCCGTAGCCCATGCTTACCTACTTGCATTCGTTTCCCAGGGCACCTGCGATATCCAACAGAGTTATGGGCTTCGCAGTAATACTCTCCGCTGTCCAGTTTTGAAACAGCGTTAAATTGCTGGAATTTTGTGGAAGGGAAAAACAAAATGTACTTTTTAGGAATTAAATCTGTAAGTAGACTCCTGACATAACCAAGTCCCTTGAATTTTTGCAGTCAGTTGGTCTTTCCTTTTTAATGACTTAAGACTTTATATTTTTACTATGCATTCAAAAATCTTCCATGCTTTCAAGGAGTAAGCAGCTAGGCCTCCTGCTCAGTTGGACAGAGGAGACTTGGAGCAGTAGCTTTCTGCGTGTGATACTGTGGAAGTAGCGGAGTTACAGAAGCAGGGGGCATTTTTCAAGTTTATAGTACACTGTGGTAGTAAATATTCTGGGTATTTCCGATTCTCCTCCGAAACACCATTAGTAAGTGAGGGCCTTCTTGGCCTCCAAGGGCTGATGCACTTTCCAGTCACGAGTGAGTTCAGTGCTGCAGCAAATATTAACTCTCCCTCTAAAGAGCCAGAATTACCGCCAGGAAGCAGCATGGAGCCCAGGAAAAGCATAACCGATGTTGTCCGTAGGATTCTAAGTTCTCTCCGTTGTAGAGTTTTTGAAAATTCTAAAAGTATAAAGTCTGACCCTTGTTCCTTCCACTCCCCGCTAAAGTAACTGAAAGGTAAGCCTTTGATATAATAGGTTTCATACTTGCTATTCGTAGTTTTATCCCCTTGGAAATTTTCAGGAAGTAAGGAGGGAGGGAGGGAGGGAGGGAGGGAGGGAGGGAGGGAGGGAGGGAGGGAGACAGGGGGTAGGTAGAAATACAGGAGAGACAGAAAAGAGGACTGAAAGGAAGGCAGAAAGTCAGGCAAACAGGTAAGAAGGAAGACAGGAAGGAAGGGAGGGAGGGAGGGAGAGGGGCGGGGGAGGGAGGGAGGGAGGGAGAGAGGAAGGAAGAGGGGAGGAGGAGGGAAGAAGGAAGGAAGGAAGGAAGGAAGGAAGGAAGGAAGGAAGGAAGGAAGGAAGGAAGGAAGGAAGGAAGGAAGGAAGGAAGGAAGGAAGGAAGGAACGCACGCACGCTGTGGTCCTGGGCTCGGCAAAGCCCTGCCAGGACCAGCACGGAGGACAGAGGTGCTCAGAATCACTTTCAGTGCCTCCGTCACACCCTCAGTGCTCACTGCAGCTGAGAGCCACGGGCCTCTCAGGAGCACCTCCTCATTGTCTTTGATCTTCATGCAGCATTATGCTCCTGAAAATAGCCAAGGTTTTTATTTATAACTCTTTTCTCTCTGACTTTTCTTTACCACCCACCTACTTCTTCCTTCTGTATCCCTCGACGTGCCGGGATCAAAGCTTTTCCTTGTTCATTTTAACCCCCTGGAAGCATCTCTCATTTCCCCCAAAGCCAGAATAGTTTTAAAATATTCACCACGAGCACCAGGCTGAGGTCATGTGTAATTAGTTAGACTAAGACAATGACCTTCCAGCACATTATAAGTGGTGATTCAAAGGAGGCCACTGTCATCCATACACTGGCGTCTGGGTTGCTCATTTCTCAGAAAGTAACCCAGTTCTGCCTTTGACATCACGAGCTATTTCAAGGACTGCGGCTCACTGAGGAAAGTGAATCTATATCATTTCAGACTCGCCTTGGGGCTTTTATCACCTGCTCTGGGAAAAAATAAATTTGAAAAGTAAATATAGCAAAGTGTGACGGCAGGTTTTCTGCCCAATTTCTCAGTGTGAAGTCACTCGGACCTGCTGACTGAGCCTCCAAGCCCAGCGGGCGGAGCGTGGCCCCCTCCGGGAGCAGCCACATCCACTGATACGCTTTGGCATTTACCCAATTTATCAATGTGCTTTTTTATTTACCAGAGGATCTAGTTTTTAAATGTTATCATGCACTTGTAGATGGAAGGCATAAAAGGAAACATACCCTCTTCTTGAAATTCATCAAATTATTATCACCATGCCGTTAAAGATTTTTTTGATAATGGGTGAGGTAGTGATTCTACCTTATTGGAAATTAGACATTTTTTAACTGCCATGTTATTATTATTATTTTTTTTAATGAAAAAGAAAGCTTTGAACTTCATGGTCTTTGTTTCTACTTCTACCTCTACCCTGAAAAGTCAGAGGCCAAAACAGTGAAAATATTTTTATTTTAATATGGCATCAACTTTAAAGAGCTTATGTGTTGGGTTTCCATCAGTATTCCTAGAAAGGCTTTTCAATCAATCAGAAAATCTGGACACGATCTAAATCATAGGTTCGTAAGTCACTGAGTCAGTTGCTGGCGATCTAGTTAGTTATGGAAGAGTTTAATGCGCAGACATCCTATCACAGGTTGGCAGTAGTCACCATCCCTACATGGCTGGCACTGAGGTACGCCCCCCCTTTCCCCTGCCCGGGAGTTTTGTGCATTTGCCTGAGACTGTACATATGAGACTGTACTCACTACCTCTGCAGGCCAGGAAGGCAGCTGTAATGAACTACCTGATCCATCCTCATGAATCAGACCTGCTCTGTTTAGGGTCACTGTGCGGTCCCCACGTGCCCAGCTCCCCGCTGTCTGTCCTCTTCCCACCTCCGGCAGCAACCCTTTCCCCCACTTCTCTGTGCATGTTCCCCCGTCTTTCCTGCTGCCCTCCCCTCTCTCCACTTAACAAGCAATGATATCAGCCCTCTGTGCTACATCATTTTAGTTCCAAGACTTTTTTTCCTCTAGTGCAGAACAGTTACTAGGCCAAGGCTGCGGTGCCCTCACCAGAGTCCCGGATTTCGTATTCACTGTGTATGAGCTGTTGCCGCTCTGGGCGTCGAGTTTCAGATTCTCTAACAAACGGCTGCCGTCCTTGAACCACGTGTACTCAGGAGCCGGGTTCCCTTCTTTGTCTTGACACCGGAGCTCTACCGTGGATCCACTCACAGCAGAGTTGGGGACTTCACATGAAGGAACCCCTGGAGCCACTGAGGGATGCAAGTCAAACGGTACTGGTTATTTATAAGCTACACGAGGGTTTTAGCAGCCAGGTAAAGATTTATCAGACACCTGTGATAGAGAATGGCTACTTGTTCTAAAGACCCACTGCCTTTCTTCACGGGGCACATAGTTAGACCACCTTTGCCAGCTTCCTGGCTGCCAGATGGGGTCCTATGCATGAGTTCGGTGCCATCTCCAGGCCTGATCCATACAAGCCTCCTTCACGATTCTCCATTCATTCACTCCATCCCCCCCTTCCCATTACTAAGTAGGTGTCAACACACGTGGTGACCTCAGAAAGCCATGTACTGAAGATATCAGATCTACAATAGGTTAGGTGGAATAGTATAGCTCTACCACTACAATCTGTGCCCCAACCATTCAGACTTGACCTACAAGAGAAACTTCTATTATGTTAAGCCACTCACTGAGAATGCTTTTCTGTTAAAACAGCAACTATTATGTTAGCTAATATAACAACTATTCTTTTTTTTAGATAAACAATCTCTACTTTCCTCCTTACAAATGGTTTTAATGTTTTATTACCAACTATAGTCAAAAGAAGTCAAATCCAAGTATATTTTTCAGGCCCAGTACTCAAAGTAATATCCAATTCTGCCTAGAACAGGCCAAATTAGACAGTATCCAAGTTAGGGTTATTCTGGTCCCAGGGGTTTGTAAAGTAAACCAGACTTTACTAGGTAACTTAAATCCAGGGAATCCCCAAATTCTAAGTGGTAGGCAGAATTCTAAAATGGTCCCCCCAAGACCCCAGCTTTGGTATATGTACACTTTCTCTCATTTATTCTATCAAACACTGATCTAGCAACCACTCTGAAGGGATTTGGGAGTTAGGGTCCCAAATCCACGGTCTTTATGATCAGGGCTGACCTAATCAATCACCCCTTTAAAAGTGGTTTTCTCTGGCTCATCACAAAAGGGATAGTGAAAGATTCAAAGCACAAGAACGGTTAAACACTCTTTTGTTAGACTGAAGATTTCAGCTTCGTGAAACTCTGAGCAGAGAACCGCACCAGGTCATGCTGGCCTTCTGATCTGCTGAACTGTGAGCTAGTACATGGGTGGGGTTTTATGCTGCTAACTTTGTAATCGTGAGTTATATAGCAACAGAAGGCCAATGCACCAGCTGATTCTCCTGCAAGGTTTTCCGAATTTCTTCTATACTAGTACATCACTAGTATTTTAGAAAGAGCCTGACTATATCGAAAAAGGAGTAATTTTACTCCCTTTTGCTTGGTAGTTAATACTAACATCTATGAAGGAGCAAAGATCATGTTCCTCTATTAATAATAATCACAAGCCGTTAATATCCATCAGTGATTTTTACAGTAACTAAGCATAGGGCTTTGGAGTTAACCTCATCAGGATCCAAATCCTGGTCCGGACACTGACTAGCTGTGTGACGTTGGAAAACTATTTACCTTCTCTTTCCTCATCTGTGAACATCAGGTTGTCAGTGACGATTAAGTAAGATTACATATTTTAAAGGGCCATACTAACTGCACAATAAATGCTAATCTCCTTCCTTTACCAAATAATTTCTAATACTTCCTCTGGCCTAGCTTCTTGTTTTACTGCCTTTTCACCATCTCATGTGATACACTATATATGCTGAAAGCTATTGTAAAATGAACTCTTGGAGCAAATGCTCCTACGTACAGTGCAGGACCATTAAGATTTACCCCAATCTTGAATGAAGAGAGGTTTTGTGATAATGAATTAGTAATGGTAACATTTCACCAGCCAATGAGGTGAAGTGAGAACTAGCCGTGACTCTGCTGGAAAGGGGGTGCTGGCGGTCTCTGTAACTCTGCTGCCTGGGCCCTGAGTTGCCTCATTGCCCCCAGGGCTGGGTGATGGGGAGGAGGGCGGGGAACAGGAACCAGTGATCACAGAGGTACAGGCACATCACCTAACACTTCCAGAGTGACCGTATCCTCTTCCAGGCTTTGGCCTTGATCAGATGGGGTACTGACTTCACAACGATACTTCCCGGCATCGTTTCTTGTAACGTTTTTGATCCTGATACTGAAATCCAACATCTGAGCTCGATCTTTAAATTCACCTTTTAGAGAAAGAAGACAACGATGTTGATGATAATCAAGTACCTTTCTACATAGCACCCTCCTCAAGCCACTGCCTTCAGTGACCACAGCACTTCTTTCCCATCGATAAAGTCCACTTAAAAACTTAAAAATTATAGATGGGTGCTGCTATTTCAAACTGTTTCTTTGAATGACAAAAGAACATTCAGTTCCATAGTCCCACATTTTAAAGAATTCACCCCTCCTTCCTGCCTCACACCCTTGCTAGTATGCTTGTAAAAAGATTCCTGCCCTGCCAGTTTGGCTCAGCAGTTGGAGCATCGGCCTAAGGACCAGAGAGTCCCAGGTTCGGTTCCCGCTAGGGGCACATACCAAAAAAAAAAAAAAAAGATTCCTGCCTTCAAAAGATACTAGAGAGCCTAATTTATAGCTATTTATGTATTCATTTATTTATAATGTTTTTATTGATTTCTAGAGAGAGAGGAAGGCAGAGGGAAAGGGAAACACTGATTGGTTGCCTCCTGAATGCCTGCTACTGGGGATTGTGCCACAACCTGGGCATGTGCCCTGGCTGGGTATTAAACCAGAGACCTCTCAGCACTTGGGATGACGCCCAACCAACTGAGCCATACAGGCTGGGTGAGTCTAGCTTAATTAGCTGGAAAGTAACTTTCTATGCTGTGTGGTGGCTGACATGATACTCCACAAAAGAAACAGTGAGGGCGTCTTAAAAATGATTCTTTTGTCTAGTTTTTTATAGTAATGCAGAATGAATTAAAATAGCATTTTGTATAATGTTCAGGTGCCAAAACTCGCAGCTGTAGAAAATTCAAGTAGAGACAGCTATGCTATTAGCATCCTGAAGTCTGTGGCCTCATCATGACAGAGGGATATATTAAATTTGCTGTAAACTCTAGACATTTGTTTGCTTATGTAATTCTTTAAAATGTAAGTAATGCATAGTATTTTTTTTTAAAGTGCACCCATTTTATTTTTAAATTTTTAAAAATTCTCACCTGAGGATATTTTTCTAGTGATTTTTAGAGAGAGTGGAAGTTAGGGAGGGAGAGAGAGACACACATCAATTGGTTGCCTCCTGCATGACCCTGATCAGGCCAGGGATCAAACCTGCCACAGAGGTACATGCCCTTGACTGGGAATCGAACCTGTGACCCTTGGGTCTGTAGGCTGATGCTCTAACCGCTGAGCCAAACCGGCCAGGGCAATACATAGTATTTTAAAATAACGTGTTTATTATACTTGTTAAATTATATTTCCAACTTTAAAAATATTTGTAATGACAAATGTCAGGCATACACAAAATTAGAGAGTGTAGTCAAATGAACCTTAATGTACCCATCACCCAGCTAATTGCAATCAATGCATGGCTTGTCCTATTGTATCTGTACTCTAACCACCACGTTATTTTGAAGCAAATACCAGGCATCCTAGCATTTCTTTCATCCATCACTATCAACACTTTAAGTCAAAAGGTCATCATCACATATTCAATAGAAAGAATAGGGAGTAGAAATGTAAAACAAATAAAAAAAGAAAGCACTGGATAAAGGTAGTTGTATTTACCCTCCTCTAAGCCTTAGCTCCTTAAGCTTCTCAGTTGATGGTCTAGCTTTCTGGTGGAGATATGAAAAGACAGTGGGGTTAATTATAACTGAACAGTGACCCTGCATCTCAACCTGGCACCATCTTGTCTGTCTTTTTCTTGAGAGTTTAATCTACTGGGCCAGTGACAACAATTGCATTTTACACCCTTAAGGAATGAGCTGAGAAATGAGGGGTCCAGGGCCTCAGTGAATTCGCCTACTTCTGTTTTGTGTTCTCTGTTTTTGTGGCTGTGTTCTAGGTCTCTGTCCTCACTGTGGGTTTCATCTCACACTTACAGAAACACGTTTTCAGGAGCTAGCTATGTCCTGTTCTCATCTGTGAGCGAAAGGATACCAGCTGCACTTGGTGTCTGTTCCCTTGCTCTTGCCTCCAGTCCACACTTCTTACCTCTGAGAGCCTGTTGATAGTAGACAAAGGAGACGCTCGGTCCCAGTTTCTTCCACTCTAATCTGGAGTCCATGGTCTTCTTTGGGTATTTACATTTTAAAATAACCTCTAGAAACGAGAACAAAAGTACTTATTTTGCTAATTGTCCCTCTGAAATTATATTTCACTTAATGAAGCAATGATTTTTTACATCCTTAAGTTATTCCTTTGTATATCTATTCATTCATTCATTTATAAATTATCTCAACACGCACCACGTTGGTTTCACCCAAAAGTAAATTGAAAGCATTATAGCTCTTCCACATAATACTTGTCTGACACTGTGGCTTTCCCTACTTCTTGAGCATCAGTGCCTGTCTGCAAAATAAGATACGATCTCAAATTCCTTGTGAGTCTTTGATTACAGAAATATGTGCACAACAAATACTTTAAAATGGCAGCAGTGATTCATTATTTATCTTATTCTTTCCCATCTCCGACTTCAAGGATTTTATTGTCTGGAAAAAGAGGCAAAAAAGATAATACAATTTTGGTCTAATGTGATGAGTGCCAGGGTGGAGGTAAGCAGAGAGCGCTTCACCCGAAGTCTAGGAGAGGCACTAAATCCAGCCCACGCCACGCTGTGGACACCTACAAATGCTCCTTCCGCAGGCGACATTCTCACCCAGCTCCCTTCTGTGGCTACCCTCTCCATGAATATATTAGTACAAACCCAAAACTGTCTTCTAACAAATTGTTGATTCCTACCCCTTATCTCAATCTAGGTAAATTATGTTGAAATTCTCACCATACCTCTGATTTTGATGTTAAGCAGATTTAATGATATTTTAAAAAACAACTCAGGATATTACACGATACGGTAGATTAGAGTAATACTTATAATATAATCCTGACTTTTATTAAAAATATACACATAGGTATGCACAAAAAGCCTGTATAAATAGGTATGAAAATATTAACCCACTGATGATTTCTGTGTGATAGAATTATGATTTTTCCCTTTGTTATATGTAGTTTTTAATGTTTTTTAGTTCCACAAGTATAGCTAGAAACACAGAAATAGAATAAAAGGTAACGGAAAATAGAAAGTAAGACAAAGAAAGGCAGAGGAAAAAACAAAACAAAACACCAAAGTTGTTTTCAAAGATGCCTAAAGATTTAAAAGTAGGTTTTACATTACGAAGAGACATCATTTTATAGACATGTTTACAATTATACTGTGAAGACAAATGTGCGCGGAGGAACTTGTCTGAGGAAACACAGTTCTATTCTGTTGATTAAGGAGAATGGGCGGTGACTTTCCGGAGTCTTGAGTTTTAGATAGGTTTCCTTCCCGTATTTTGTTGAGTTTCCAACAATTAAACACACACCCACACTCATTTTTAGCCCATACTCCTAGGTCTTAGGAGTAAATTTACACTCAATTGTTTCACATATTTAACTAGACACACGCACACCCTCTTGGTGAATTCTTCCTCATTTCTGTCCTCACTGCTCTATGGGGAACCTTTGCAGAAATTACATTAAAAACTGTAGCTGATGATTCTCCAAACAGCGGACTCCACTCCAGCCTCGTTCGCACTGAGCACGTAAACTATGGAGAAATAGTCTGTCCAACTCGCTTTAAATACAGTGAGAGCTTCCCGCGTGCCCAGCATTGTTCGGGGGCCACGTCAGTGAGCAACTCAAAGACCTTTATACTTCTGGATCTTATCATTTGCAGGGGGTCAGGCACACAGAAACGTCATAAAGTAAATTATCTAGTATATTATAGAAGTCGAGTAAATCAGAGTAGGGGAGGTATACAAGACATGGGGACAGGGTGCAATTAAAAAAAATAAAAATGTAGTCAGAGTTCATCTCATTTGGAAGGTGACATTTGACCAAGACTTAAAAGAGCAAATTAGAATTCCTTAGAATTCAAACTAGAGGTTCCTAGAATTCGAATTTAGAATTCACCACATGGTTCTTGGTAGTGGTCCCAGCAAGGGACTAGCCAGTGCCCAGGTCCTAAGGTGCCAACACCTTGGCCCCAGAACTGAGGAACAGTAAATCTACTGGAATCATCTGAGGATAAAGAACCAAGTGAACTTACAAGCTAACTACCTCAGACTCCCCTTTCTCTTCTCTGCCAAAATTCAACACTCAGGACCAGCATAATTCTGCATCCAGCCCTCAGGGTAAGTGTGCCATCATTTAGTAGTTTAAAGCACAGCTTTGGCGTTAGCCCTCTGCCATATACCAGATGTGTGATATTGCGCAAATTACTTCACTTTGTGAATATTATAGTCACATCTGTAAAACGAAAAAAATAAGAGTACTCATCTCAGAAAGCTGTAAGGATTAAATCAGATGATGCATTTCTATTCTTGGGTGGACACTGTACTTTGCATATAGTACATGCTCTATAAATGGTCATTATTACTTTCACACATGAGGGTCTTCTCTTAGTTATAGATGTAAGCTTGCCTCGACATGAGAGAAATTCACACTTTATACATCACAAATTTACCGAAAAATCACTCATATTTTAATTAAAATGTTACTTCTGAGACAGCAAAGACAATAATATAGAGATAAATCATATTTTCTCAAAATAAGGAATAGTAAAACAGAAAAATGCACCAAGTTTTTCCATTAAGATGATAATTTAATTGCCAAAATGTTTTATTTAGATTGAGAAAAGGTAATTTTTTTTTTAAGTTTAGTGCCTGTGCTTTTTATTGATATTTTAGAGAGAGAGGAAAGGAGAGGGAGAGAGAGAAACATTGATGTGAGAGCAAAACATCAACAGGCTGCCTCCTACACACTCCCTACTGGGGATTGAGCCTGAAACCTGGGCATGTGCCCTGACCAGGAATTGAACCAGGAACCTTTCAGTACATGGGACATCACTCAATCCACTGAGCCACATGGGCCAGGTCTAACATTTTTTAAAAAAATATTTTTTATTGATTTTTTTAGAGAAAGAGGAAGGGTGAGATATAGAAACATTGATATGAGAGAGAAACATTGACTGGCTGCCTCCTGCACGCTCCCTACTGGGGATCAAACCCACAACCAAGGCATGTGCCTGAACCAGAATCAAATCAGTGGCCTCTTGGTCCATGGGTCAGCGCTCAACCACCGAACCATATCAGCTGGGCCTAATTCTTTTTTTAAAAAACTTATCTTTATTCTTGAATGTATTACAGATGTACCCCTTTTTTTCCCCCATTGGCCCCCTACTCCCCAATACCATCCCCCTCCTGGATTTCTCACACTATTGTCTGTGTCCATTGTTATGCATATATGCATAGTAGTTTTTTGGTTTATCTCTTCCTGCCCTCCCTTCCCACTTCCTTTTGAGATTCATCAGTCTAACAACTTATTTGTACTTCTTTTTTTTGTTTTTATCCTCACCTGGGGACATTTTTCCATTTTTTGTTCAGATAGAGTGAGGGAGAGAGAGGAAGAGAGAGAGAAAAACATCGATGTGAAAGGTGCACATTGAGTGGCTGCCTCCAGCACCCAATCAGGGCCGAGGACAAACTGCATCTGAGGTACATGCCCTTAGCGGGAACTGAACACAGGTCTCTCTGGACCACAGGCCGACGCTCTAACCGCTGAGCCAAACCAGCCAGGGCTAATTTGTCCTTCTTAATTCCTTCATCTTTTTCACTCATCCCCAAGCCCCTTCCCATTTGACAAGCAACAAAAAGTTCTCTGTATCTAGGAGTCTGTTTCTGTTCTGCTTGTTCATTTTGTTTGTAGATTCAATTGTTGATAGATATGTAATACTTTTCATTTTATTGTTCATATTTTTGTTCTTCTCCTTCAAGAAGACCCTTCAACATTTCATATAATACTGATTTGGTACGATGAACTCCTTTAGCTTTTTCTTGTCTGGGAAACTCTTGATATGTCCATCTAGTCTAAATGATAGCTTTGCAGGATAGAGTAATTTTGGTTGTAGGTCGTTGCTTTTCATCACCTTGAATATCTCTTGCCACTCCTTTCTGGCCTGCAAAGTTCCTTTTGAGAAATCAGCTGACAGTCTTATGGAAGCTCCTTTGTAGGTAACTAACTGCTTTACTCTTGCTGCTTTTAAGATTCTCTCTTTGTCTTTAACCTTTGGCATTTTGATGATGATGTGTCTTGGTATGGGCCTCTTTGGGTTCATCTTGGTTGGGACTCTCTGTGCTTCCTGAACCTGTATGTCTGTTTCCTTCATTGAGTTAGGGACATTTTCTGTCATTATTTAAATTGGTTTTCAATTTCTTGTTCTCTCTCTTCTCCTTCTGGCACCCCCATGAGGCAAATGTTGGTATGCTTAAAGTTGTCCCAGAGGTTCCTTACACTATCCTCATTTTTTTGGATTCTTTTTTCTTTTTGCTGTTCTTATTGGGTGTTTTTTGCTTCTTTATATTCCAAATCAATGGTTTGCTTCTTGATTTGCTACTCTACTATTGATTCTTTGAAAATTATTCTTTTTTCAGTTAGTGCATCCTTCATTTCTGATTGATCCTTTTTTATGCTGTTGATGCTCTCACTAAGTTCCTTGGAGGTCTCCTTAAGTTCCTTGCAGTTCTCACTAAGTTCCTTGAAGGTCTCACTAAGTTCCTTGAGCATCCTTATAACCAATGTTTTGAACTCTGCATCTGATTGATTACTTATCTCAATTTTGTTTAATTCTTTTCCTGGAATTTTATTCTGTTTTCATTTGGGATATGTTTCTTCGTCTCCTCATTTTAGCTGCTTTTCTGTGATTGTTTCTATTATTAGGTACAGTTGCTATGTCTTCTAGGCTTTGTAGGGTGGCCTATTGTTATAGGTGTCCTGTAGGGTTCAGTGGCAATGTCTCCCTGATCACCCCAGCTGGGCCCTTGAGGTGCACCCTTGTGTGGACTGTACTCCCTTCTGTTGTAATTGAGTCTTGATTGCTGTTGGCATGTCAATGGGAGGGATTTATTCAGGCTGATGAGCTGCAAGGACTGGCTGTGCCCACTGACCACTGGCCTCTGACTATGTTGGAGGATCAGCTGTGCAGAGACCCACCACACAGAACAAGACTTACTTGAGCAGGGCTCTGGTAACTACTGAGTCCACTCATTGGGTCTGTCACTAGTGGTGGTGATTGGGTGGTGGTGCTTCGATGTGGTCTGAAGCTGTCCACTGGGTGTCCTGACTCTGGGGCAAGGTCAGCCACTGCCCGTGTTCTACCTGGGGCCACCCGGCATGAGCTACAAAGTGATCTGCAGATGGCTGCTTCTTGTGCTGGGCTTGGAGGAGCCCAGAAAAAGCCAAGTTGTGAACCAAGGCCGGCTGCTTCCAGTGCCAGGCCTGGGGCCACTTAATGAGCATATGGGGCTAGCTGAGACCAGATGCTGATTGTTTGAGAGATTTTAGGACAATCTGAAGCAGGATCCAAGAGAGGCCAATAGGCCAATCTTATGGTGAAGCCTTTGAAAACAGCTTGGGTGGGCCCGAAAGTTGGGTGGGGCAGGGCCTCAGGGAATCACCAGGGCAGGGCAAACAGTGTGAGCCAGGTTGCTGGAGTCCCAGATATGGCAGCTGTCTGTTGCCCCAGGGAAGGGCTCACCAAAAGAACAATGGCCTCCTACTGCAAGTCTGTCCAAGAGAAAGCTGCCCCTCTAGCTCTTGCCCCAATGCCAAATAACTCAATTCTTCACCATTTGTCTCTGATGCCTTTCAAGCTGCCTCCCCTGCACTGGAGCCTGCAGGGTGCAAGTCCGAGTAAGTCCACGCACAGGCCCTTTAAGGGGAGCTGCCTGGGACTCTCACAGCCTCAGCCTCCCTCAGTTCCTGCTGGTTTTACAGCCAGAAGTGATGGGGATTCTCTTCCTGGCACTGGGACCCTGAGCTGGGTGCCTGGTGTGGGACAGGGACCCCTCAGTCCTCAGGGAGGACCTTCCCAGCCGAGGTGTCCTCCTGATTTTTATCCGCCACACGTGGGTGTGGGACCAGCCCGTCCCCTCTGCCCTCCTCCCAGTTTCGGTGTGGCTGCTGCTTTAATTCTGTAGTTGTAGGACTGCCATTCAGCTCAGTGTCAGGGGGTTCTGAAGGATGGTTGTGTTGTAGTTCAGTTGTAATTTTGATGTGGTTGTGGGAGCAGGTGATACTGCCTTTACCTACGCTGCCATCTTGACTGGAAGTGTAATTCTTTGTTTTGATACCGCATTAGCAACAACTATTTTCCTACACTGTGAATTTTAATTTTTCTAGGAGTCTTTACAGCTAACTATCTTTTAATTTTATTCTCTGTGCTCAAGTTAAAAATCAAGAGAGCCCTGGCCGTTTTGGCTCAGTGGTTAGAGTGTCGGCCCGTGGACCAAAGAGTGGCAGGTTCGATTCTGGTCAAGAACACGTATCTCGGTTGCGGTTCGGTTCTCGGCCCTGGTCAGGGTCGTGTGGGAGGTAACCAATTGATGTGTCTCTCTCACATCGATGTTTCTCTCTCTCCCCCTTTAATTCTATATGAGGATAAATGAAAAAATATCCTCAAGTGAGTATTAAAAAAAAAAATCATCAAGTGAATTGACATCACTAAAGTAGTTGTGAAGAATTACTTGAAATTACTTGTGTGGAGAAAAGCATGCTATTAAGCCCTGATTTATAGCCCAGGGTTGGACACTCTACATAAGGCTGTTCATATAATTTATAAGCCTGACAGAGCTGCCCTTTCTTCAGTCTTAGTCTGCTTTTGGCACCGCTATGGGAAGTGAAACAGAACAGCAGTACTGAAAAGAAGGAATGAAATCATGATTTATTGACCACAGAGAGAGAGAGAAAACGCTAAATTAATTGATGGAACACACATATGCACAAATCATAAACTATTTTAGACTGCAAGTAAAATTAAGTTACCGCATACAATATCCTATAACTAAAATGTGGAAGATAGAAATTCATTTTTGCTTTACGAAGATCCCAGTTGGAATGATGGAGGCACATAAACTGGAATCAAGATGTAATTCTCATTTAAAAGGAGCAGGGGTGAAACAAAAAGATAGAAAATACTTGGAAGTAAGACTAACATTTGACTGCAATAAATTATAGAAGGACTTTCTATAGAAAACACAAAACATGCATTAAAAAGTAATGTAGCCCTGGCCGGTGTGGCTCAGTTGGTTGGGTGTCATCCCATGCACTGAGAGGTCACAGGTTCGAGTCCTGGGCAGAGCACAGGGTGGGATTGTGGGCTTGATCCTCAGTAGGGGCCACACAGGAGGCCGTCCATCAATGTTTCTCTCTCTCATCGATGTTGCTCTCTCTCTCTCTCTCTCTCTCCTCTCCCTTCCTCTCTTTCTAAAACCAATAAAAACATTTTTTTTTTTTTAAAGTAATGTAACTGTACAGGTTTTAGTCTGGAATGACAGAAATGTTTTGAAACTGGATAGAGGTGATGGTTGACAACATTGCGAATGTACCAAATGCCACCAAACTGTTCACTTTAACATGGTGGATTTTATGTTATATGAATTTCAGCTCAATGAGTTTTTAAAAAGGTAATGTAAGACTAAACAATATAACTTTGGCATTCTAATTCAGACATCATGGCATAAGGCCAAGGGGCAGGGATGGATTTATAGCCATGGTATCCAGTTGTACCCAACAGTAAGAACCTCCAGAAAAAGTAGGAGAAGTTAACTTCACTTCCTTTGTCCCCTGTGAGCATCCTGACTCATCTTCCTCTCTCTGTGCTCACTCTTTGGCCTTTCCAGTGTCTGTCATCTTATCCAGCCCTGTTTATCCTTCCTATAAGTATGCTCCATGGTTCCAAATTGCTTCCAATCATTAATTCCTCTTCCCACCTCTCTCCCCATTTAAAACAAAGCCATGACACAATTAAAACACATCTATCAACAATTGAATCTACAAACAAAATGAGCAAGCAGAACAGAAACAGACTCATAGATACAGAGAACTTTTTGTGGCTTGCCAGATGGGAGGGGGCTGGGAGGATGGGTGAAAAAGATGAAGGAATTAAGAAGTACAAATTGGTTGTTAGACTGATGAACCTCAGAGGGAAGGGGGGAGGGAGGGCGGGATAAGATAAACCAAAGAACTTCTATGCATATATGCATAACCAACGGACACCAACAATAGTGTAGGGAAGGCAGGAGAGGGGTGGGATTGGGGAGGAGGGGGTCAATGGGGGAAAAAGGAGGGAACATCTGTAATACATTTAACAATAAAGATGTTAAAAAACAAAAACAAAAACTAAGCCATGACAAGAGTATTTTATTACCTTAATCATGTAAAATGTTAGGACTTCTTAACTACTTAAGTGATTTCTTATTAAGTAGTGTTATTTTTGAATGACAGGCTGACTCTTACTATAGCATAATTTTAATGAACAGACACATATACCACAACGTGCCAGGTACCATTATAGGCACTGGTTAAATGCTAATTCATTTAATTCCTCTCCACCCCAGTCCTCTTCTATAATCTTTGTCTCTTTCCTTGAAATTGATCTCTCTCCTACTCTGGGAACCTAAGGCCTGCCTGAAGAAGAGGAAGCAGATATTCAGGACTTATTTCTTAGATGCTTACAATCTCTGCCTAAGTAAGCATCGCATTTAAGAAACAGGCATTCTTCTATTCGCCTAGTATTATTGTGTTCTAGGTAAACGAGCCTTCAGAAAAGTAGTGGATAGTCAACATTCGAGGTAAACTTACACAAGCCCTTATAAATTTTTGGTTATTAGAACCTTAACACATTTTTTTTAATTGTGGTGAAATACACATAATTTAAATTTAACATCTTAATGATTTTTAACTGTACAGTTCAGTGATGTTAAGTATATTCACATTGTTGAGCAACCAATCTCCTGTTTTTCATCTTGCAAAACTGAAATTTTATACCCATTAAATATCAATGCTTTCTTATAAGTATTTTTTTATTGTGAGGATTAAATGACATAACCATGGTTTTTAAATTTTTATTTTAATAATTTATTTTTATTACAGATGTTTCTCTTTTTTCCCACCTCGATACCCTCCTCCCAATCCCACCCCCCCAACACTGTTGTCTATTCCCTTATAAATATTTTGAAGAAGCTAAAATAAATAACAAAACGGCATCCGAAAATACACTACCTTAATGCCATCTTAAATACATTAAATAGCGTGAGGTTTGTGGTGTTGATTTCCACTTACTATATCTAGCTGGCTGGAAACGTTGCAACATCTCCATCTCCCCAGTTTCACAGACTGGATTTGCTTTGTTGCAGACAGTTTACGTAATAAGAGACCTTTTTTGTACATCAGGTCCTCGTCCCACATTGAAAATTTCCGCTGAGGAAGTGGAGAAAGAGTTCCCAAGACAGAAATGGCATTTTAGGCAGAAGAATTAGTGTGAGGTGAGACAGAAGATCCGGACAAATAGAAAGATAACATCACATGTGTCATACCCTTGAGTCATTTCAGCAAAACACTCTGTGCAAATCAGTAGGGTACTCTACCTTGATACTCTATTGCTGTGATTACTTGGTCTTGGGGGGCAGATAATCCATAGGCCTTATGACCTGGAAGATTAAAACAGATAGGATAATTAAAATAGTACAAAAGGTCATTTTTAAATGTTTGTATGGGACGCAATATTAAAGAAAAGTGGTCTCAAGGTTGGTGACAGTTTCATATAATTCATAACACATATATTTTAAAGTCTCAGAATAAGAAAAACCAAGCCAAGTCTTCTTTGTCTCTTCCATTTTCTGTATTGTGATCTCACCCTTTAAGCATTTCCCAAAGCAGAACCCATAAATCTATTAGGGCCCCCCCCCCCCACACACACACAGACAACACACTTTCATAAGCCCGATTGTAAGCAAGAGTGTATGTCCTTAATTCAGCTGATATGTGATCTAGTGTCACAGGGTGTTGTCCTCCAAATAAAACTAGTAATCTTTAGCACTACATTCAAGGGTATAAACTGCTTTGCAAATATATCCTTGACTATACCTACATCATATGGAAATGGGTCATTACGATGATTATAGTGGCTAATGTGATCTGATAGTTATATGGTGATATACCATTCCCATAATCTTAAAATTTTCATTTAAAAAAAAGTGCTCATACATACTTCTTTTTTTCTTTGATGAAATTCAATATTCAGAATGATCTGGTGTGCTAGATATTACTTTCTTTAAAATTTTTTTTTTCTTTATTGATTTTAGAGAAAGAGGAAAGGAGAGACAAATAGAAATATCGATGAGAGAGAACATCGATTGGCCACCCCCTGCATGTCCCCTACTGGGGATTAGGACCACAACCCAGGCATGTGTCCTGACCAGAAATCGAACTGGGGACCTCTTGGTGCATGGGTTGATGCTCAACTGCTGAGCCACACCAACCAGGCTCTTAAATTTTTTAAAATTTATTTTTCAATTACATTTGACATATAATATTCTATTAGTATCAGGTATACAATATAGTTTTTAGACATTCATATACCTTATGAATAGACATAGTAAGACTTGAACAACCACATAGCAGAATCAGAAATTAAAGCTTTCTAAGTCAACTTTTGATATGTATCTATGGATGTCATTCTACAATCCAGCTTAATGACCATCTTTAAAAATAATTTAAATCACTTCCTCTAAGTATATATCTCTGAAATACAAATGCTACTGGGGAAAGATTTTTTTACCTATTGTATTCTCTGATATAACCTGAACATCTAGAATAGTGCCTGGCATAAAACCAGGCAAAATAAATATTTGTGGAACACATAAACAGTATTACTCCATATTGTATACTACTGAGAAGAACCCAGTAAATAGGTTCAGATCAAATGACAGTAATGAAGGTTCCTGAAGGCAAGCATTCTTTGGGGAAGGTATAAGTATACAATACTGGACTGGTATTTATTAATTACTTGTAAATCAGAATAGAACGCAATCTTGCTGGTTAGCTTGAGTAAACAATTTAGATAAAACGGCCCAACTACTGTTCTTCATTACCCCTAAAATCACATATGAAATAACCTAAGACCAAATTAAACTGATGATAAAAATCTAAAGAAGGTTATTTCTTGAATATATTTCTACAATCTACTAGAAATGCTGTTTCTGTTCATGCTATCATCTGTCTTCTGTCTTCTTAAGATCTACAGATTCTGTTTTCACCAAGGCAAAAATGGCCTCGCTGTTGCCATATCCATTGGACAATTTTCATGATCTGTCTTCTTGATCTCTCTCTAACATCTGACTCTGCTGACTTTCTTGGATTTGTGACATGACTCTCTCCTAGTCTTCGTTCTGTCTCCCTTGTGGGTCCTCCCCTTCCAGCTATCCAGAAACTGCTTTTCTGACTCAACTAACTTCTTTCTATATACTTTCTTATACTCTCATTGACTCAGCTACTATTTATTAGCCTAAAAGTCCTAAATATGTATCTCCAGCTCTAATTTCTCTCCTAAGATTAAATCCATAAACTCCGCTTTTTATAGGCTAGCCCTATCCCCATTTCCTATAAGAACCGCAAACTCATAGGCAAAAATTTTGTTTTCTTTCTATGAATCCTATCAGTGAATGACACCACATGGTCATTCCACATGGTCACTCATGCCAGAAACTGGGATATTGCCCATGTGATGTAACCTCGTTCCATCCATTTACTCATCAGTCTGTAGCCTGAGAACTGTCATCCAAGACAAGTTTGTGGAATGTTTGCCCTCCTCCACCCTGGGTGGCCAAGTGCTCTTTGTCTCAGGGTATTTCCAGCCGTTCCACCTTTAGAAACCTTGGCGATAAGGAAATGAAAACAACTCATAGCTTATGCAAACATTTAAGAAAAATCCCACCTTCTTTCTAGCCTTATGGTAGAGAGGAGGAAGAGAGTTGGAGAAGGTGATCTTAATGGGCTCTTGAGAAAGAACAATAGATAACATTTACTAAGCATTTAGATGCAAGGCAACATTCTCAATGCCTAACGAATGTTAACTTATTTCGCTCTCACAACAATTCTCTGTGGTAGGGTACCATTTTTATTCACATTTTTTAAAAAAATTTATTGATTTTTTTGGAGAGAGAGGAAGGAAGAGATAGAAACATGTGAGATGTGAGAGAGATGCATCGATCAACTGCTTCCTGCACACTCCCTACTAGGGATCCAGCCCACAACCCAGGCATGTGTTCTGACCAGGAATCCAACTGGGACTTCTCAGTCCACGGAACAACGCTCAATCCACTGAGTCACACCGGCTGGGCTTATTCACATTTTTTGGGGTGTGGGGAAACAGAGGCACAGAAAGCATAAGAAACTTGGCCATGGTTATAGTAGTAAGTGGTGAAGTTGGGATTTGAACTCAGCCTGCCTGTATCCAAAGCCCACGTGGTTTATTGTACACTATACTGGACCCCACGTTATGTACATTATGTCCCCCAGAGCTGAACTATGAGGAAGGGCTTCACATTAACAGAGATGTAGGGTGGAAAGGCCCATGGGTCTAATGAAGATGAGATAGGCTGAGAAATGATGAAGGCAAAGGACTGGCTCTGGAGCACAACAGGAAGGCGGAAGCTGCTGGGACTGGGAAACCGGACAAGGTAATCTCAGAGGGGAGGTGCTGGACCAGGGTTTCTCAGCTTTGGCACGATGACATTGGGGGCTGGCTCACTCTTTGTCATGGGGGACTGTCCTGAGCACTGTAGGATGTTCCATAGTGCCTGGCTTCTACCCACTAGATGCCAGTAACATCCTCCCTCCCACACTACCCCAAGTCATAACAACCAAAATTGTTTCTAGATATTGCCAAATGTCCCCTAAAGATAGAGGTGGGGAAATTACACCTGGCTAAAAACCACTGGTCTAGACTTGCAATTAGGCTGGTTTTGTGGTAGGCAGTTGGACCTGAGCAGAGCAAGGACTATAGTCCAAGTACAGAATGTCAACAGGCAAAACTAGGAAAACAAGGACCTCACCCCCAGGGAGACTGTTCCTCCCTTGGCATATTGCTGATCATTTGGTTTAGACGCCCTGACCTTTCAAACTGCGGGTCATGCAGTTTGGACCCTCCCCTGACCTTTCCTCCCCTGGCATAAGGTTAGTCATGCGACAGACCCCCTTGGAGAAGGACTGGCCTCCTGTGACTCCCACGGGGACCCTTGCATGACCACTCCCTTAAGCTTAACCCCTAGAGATAATTCTAGGCCTCAGTCTGTTTCAGCTCCAGGCCCAGAAAAGCAGCAAAACCAGGACAAGCATTGACTCAGGACCCCTGTCCTGGCTCCTGACCTTGAAAGGACATACCTGGAAAGTTGATGAATATTCTACTGGGACCCTCCCCTTCCTCCCCCCATCTCCAGAGGTGTTACCTTTACCTTTCTCTCTCCTGAGCTCAAGAGCCCTTCTTTTCTTTATTTATGTATATGGACATTAACATAAAGTAGCTTTCACTATGCTAGACTATCACTTCTAAGGAGTACATTCTATTCTGAATAAATACACACACACACATTTTTTTCTTCCTCCTTTAGAAGCCTGAACAGCAAATCCAATTATGAAGAAAGTAAAAAACAAAAAAACATCTAACATCTACAGGCCTCAAGTATCTAGCTCCACTATCAAACATCAGTCAAGTGCGCAGACTGTCTATTTCCAATTCGTAAACGTCTTCATGAGGGAAACTGGCAAGCCTGGTGTCTCTGTGTAGAGAGAGCACTGAACCGACAGCCTAAAATATATTTGTACAGAGCAGCGAGCCATGCGGCTCTGCCTTAGGTGTCAGGGTCCCTGAAGGACAATTTCAAAGTAACTATTTTGCTTATGATTTCAAAAACCAAGAAGCAATCTTTGTTGTTGTTGTTAATCCTCACCTGAGGATATTTTTCCATTGATTTTGAGAGAGAGTAAAAGGGAGGAAGGGAGGGAGGGAGGAAGAGAAGAGAGAAACATGGACGAGAGAGACACATAGATTGGTTGCTTCCCGCAGGGCCCCAGGGCTGGATATCGAACCTGCAACCCAGGCACTCGCCCTCAACTGGGAATCAAGCTGGAGACCCTTCAGTCGGTGGGCTGATGCCCGCGCTGCTGAGCCAGATTACCCAGGGCAGCAATCTTTTAAAATATTCCTTTTCCCCTTCCCATACACTCTGTCACATACCAGAATATTTCCTGTGTCCTCTGCACTCCACCCCCACCCCCTCATGCCTTTCTTTTCCAGCTTCTCTCCTTCCCCAGTTTTGTTTTGTGGAGTCCAGGGGCAGGGTTTGGATCCTCAGAGAGCAGAGGGAGGGAAGAGACTGAGCTGGCCAAGCCAGACTCCTCTTAAGTGAACTGGAGAAGACAGGACTACCTACATTTAAATTGGATGGATGGATGGCCCTGGCCGGTTTGGCTCAGCGGTTAGAGCGTCCGCCTGCGGTCCGGAGAGGCCCGGGTTCGGTTCCCGCTAAGGGCATGTACCTCGGTTGCAGTTTGTCCCCGGCCCTGGTTGGTCGTGCGGGTGGCAGCCACTCGATGTGTCCCTTTCACATCGATGTTTCCCTCTCTCTCTCTTCCTCTCTCTCCC